GCCGTTTTTCTGTGAAAGTTGCCAGTTTGGTAAACAGTCAAAAGTACCTCATAAAAATCTGTCTGTAAAAAGAGCTGAAAGGCCCGGTTTTATGATACACAGTGATGTCTGTGGGCCTATGAATATTCCCTCGCCTAGCGGTTCAAAATATTTTGTACTATTCAAGGATGATTGTAGCGGTTACCGCATGGTTTATTTTCTCAAACACAAATCAGAGGTCTTAAGTAAATTTGTAGAATACAAGACACTTGTAGAGAATCAAACCGTTAACAAAATAAAAGTTTTCAAAAGCGATCAAGGCGGTGAATACATAAGTAAATCATTTAAAGACTTTTTACAGAAAGCAGGTATTTCACCCGAATATTCAGCAGCCTATACACCTCAACAAAACGGCAGATCGGAAAGAGAAATAAGAACCATTACAGAATGTGCCAGAACCATGCTTATCAACAAGAACGTCTCTCAAGAATTATGGTCCGAAGCGGTAAATTGCGCGGTATATATTCTCAACAGGACGGCAAACAATCAAATTGATAATATGACCGCATACGAGAAGTGGTTTGGCCGTAAGCCTACGTTAAAACATGTCCGCATTTTTGGAAGTATCGCTTACATGGCAATACCAGATCAGTTTCGAAAAAAGTTTGAGCCAAAATCCCGAAAATTATTGTTGGTAGGTTATGACGGTCATTCATCCAATTATAGACTTTGGGATCCTGAGAAACGTAGAATTGAAATCAGCTGTAATGTTAATTTCAACGAAAATGACCAATTTTCACCCAAAAAGGAAACATTTACCCTCTATTTTGACATATCAGAGAATTATGAACCACAAAATGAGACACTCGAAGTACCAGAAAATATAGATGAAAACAACCCTAGCGAAGAAATTACAGAAATAGAAGAAACTGCCGAAGAATATTTGAGTGATGAAGATTATCAATGTGAAGAAAATTTTGAGTTGAAAGATGAGAATAGAAGAGAATTAAGAGATAGAAGCAAGTTGTCAAGACCCAATTTTTATAGTGCCTATGCTAATTATTGTTCACTTTCCGAACCTACGACATACGAAGAAGCCATCAGCTGTGAAGATTCTGATAAATGGCGCCTCGCTATGCAAGAAGAAATAAACGCGTTAAAGTGCAGCAATACGTGGGACTTAGTAACATTACCGAAAAACGCGAAAATCGTTGACAATAAGTGGGTGTTTCGTATCAAAATATCTTCTGATGGTAAACCATCGCGCTATAAAGCACGTCTTGTCGCGCGGGGATTCACACAAGAAAAAGGGGTGGACTATCAAGAGACTTTCGCGCCGGTGGTACGATACGATTCTATTCGAATTCTGCTTGCATTGGCAACCGAACATGACATGCATATTTCTAATTTCGACGTACAAACAGCCTTTTTGTACGGCGATCTCTCGGAGTGTGTGTATATGAAACAGCCATCGGGGTTCGAAAACCAAAAGAAACCCGGTTTAGTGTGCAAATTAAACAGAAGCCTTTACGGACTAAAGCAATCAGCACGATGTTGGAACCGTAAGTTTGTTTCATTTTTAAATCAGTACGATTTTAAACAATTAAATTGTGTATTTCTTGGTCACTTTGCTGAGAATGAAATTTATCTGGCTATTTATGTCGACGACGGTCTGTTGATGTCAAAATCAAAAATTGCTATATCTGGACTTATTAATATTTTGAAACAGATGTTTAAAATCGTTGTAAATTTGGACAGTTCAAAACTAAATTTTGTTGGTCTTGAAATCGAACAAAATTTATCTGACGGTATAATTTGCATTCACCAACAAATGTACATAACTAGACTTGTAAATAAGTTTCAAATGAGTGATGCCAAACCCTTATCAGTTCCTGCGGAACCGAGTATTCTGTTGTCATTACCTGAAAATACAGTGTGTGCAAAAAAGCATCCTTATCGCGAAGCTGTCGGTTCTTTGATGTTTTTAGCAACGTGTAGTCGACCAGACATTTCTTTCGCAGTGAATCAAGTGAGTCGATTTTATAATAACTGGCAAGATGAACAGTGGCAAGCGGTTAAACGCATATTTCGTTATTTAAAGCTCACTGCTCATTATAAAATCGTTTTCCCTAAATCGCCAAAAATAAATCTATTCGGATATACAGATGCTGACTATGCAGGTTGTATAGACACACGAAAATCAACCAGCGGTTACGTTTTTGTTCTTGCAAATGCACCGATCACCTGGAAGTGTCAGAAACAAACCGTTGTTGCTCAGTCTACCACTGAGGCCGAATATTTAGCGTTATCACTCGGAGTACGAGAAGCTTTATGGCTGAAGTCTTTTCTAAACGAATTAGGAATAAACTTCCCACAAGTAAAAATTAATGTGGATAACCAATCAGCCATAAAACTAGCTCAGGCTCAGCAGCAACATAGCAGAACAAAACATATTGACATTAAAGTGCATTTTGTGCGTGACGAAATTGAAAAAGGTAACATTTCAGTCAATTATGTAAATTCTAACGAACAATTGGCAGATATTCTCAAAAAGCCAGTTACAAAGACTGTTCTGAACAATTGCCTTCAAAAATTAAACATGTTATTGTAGTTTTAGTTTATATCCGAATGTATTTTTTTGAATAATGTTAATTCTTCTATAAAACACAAATAGGTGGGAGTGTTAAGAAGAAGTATTTGAGTTTTATTCTCCCGCTATAATTAGTTAGTTCTGTTCACCTAGTTATTACCTATAGAACCTGTAATGATTAGTATTGTCATTGTAAAAATTGTCATTGTCACGCGAATTTGTCACGTATCTTTTCATTATAGTTAGACTCATTTCACTGTGTTTTATTAAACCTCAATAGGTTCATCTAATAGGGTTGACATGAAAACTAGACGCTTGATTCACAGGACTTGCTTATACCATAAAATAATCAGATATAGATACCCAGAATATCTTTTTGAAAGAATTACATTTAGAACAGATGTAAATAATCTCAATTTAAGGTTTAATAATGTTATTATTCCAAGACATCGATGTGGCATTTTCGAAAGATCTTTCGGTTATGACCTTGCTAAAGTCTATAACGGCCTCTCCCCATCCCTTCGAAACGGCTCGACTCTATCTCTGTCGGGAAAAATTAAAAAACTTTATCTTCACTAAGTTTCATGTGTGTTTATTTGTGTTTATTTCTCTCGTAAAGGACCACAGATATTAGGGTGAATCTTTTATCTTTTTCTTTTTTATATATGGTATTATCTTTTATTGAAATTAGCATTAAAACTTTTTTATTTTATTTTATTTTTTCTTTAACAATGGAAACACTGTCATGTTTTATACTTTATATTGCGTTTTAGAGAAACTTTATTGATGTAAGTACATTTCTTTGTTTTGCAAAATGTATTATAACTTCGTAATTAGTTGTATTTTTAATTTGCTATTTTTCGAATGGAAGATTTCAATTTTTAAATTTGAAATTTCATATTTTTAAATAGGGTTATTTAAGAATGCGTTGTTTTTTTTTTTTAAGGATAACTGTAGAAATCAGCAAGCAGATCGTCTGGGCGCTGCACTCTTGCCTTTTCTTGTAATTTGAATTACTTGAATAAAGATTATTATTATTATTATTATTATTATAAAGGAAAACGATATCAATCATAATTGATAATATAGTTGAATTAACAAACAGTATAGGTAGATGTAGAAGTGATAAAGACATTTTCTTCAATCTTCGCTTGGATCCTGTTTTTGAAAGAAATCTATCGATAGCAATCTATAAAGTTATACATATTTAACCAGATGTCATCCGGCAGTCCGGTGCACTGAGCTGAAGTAGAGTAAAAGAAAGGTGTATCACAATATGCCTCCAAGAGTGAGATTGCCCCTGTTCTCTCCTCGTCTTGAGTACAAAAATAAATAAACATGACCAGTAAGTTACTAGAGTAATCTTTCTTAAGATTCGTGTAATTTCAATACTGAGATGTTGCTTGTGATCATCAAGAGGAGAGGTGGATAGAACGTGCCTATTTTCTGATTGGCTGACTTGACATAAAACTTCATTGCATAAAACTGATAAAACGCCTGAAGTCAATTAAGGTGACAGCCAGGCACCTGGCGATGGTATCTTGCTGTGTTTTAGTCTCGCGATGGCTCTTGGAGCAAAGAGATTCTGAATAACTGAATTATTTTAAATGTATTTCGGTTTGTTCTAGCAAGGGAAGTATATCACTTCGTCTTGAACTTGCTTAGATTATTTGCGTTGCTGTCCCGTTGAGGAACTAACACGAAAAAGAAAACAAGAATAACAGTATTTCTCTTTTTTTTTTTAATAAATAGCCTCAAATTTATCCAAGCTTTATTTATAATCTAATTGGATTTCATATATATTTTTTTAATTCGAGAAAAAGCCTTTTTTATAGATAGAATTTGAATAAATGTAGCTACTTTTGATAGAAGCCTATAAAACATTCCAAAATCACACATAATATGCTATAAAATGCCTCATTTTTAAGTCTGTTTAATTTTCACTTGTGAAACCCCTTGCTCTAAAATCTCATTGCACGTCGTCGCTTGCACAAGGGTAGTCGACATTTTCCAGGTTACACGACTTTCATCTTAAAGACCGAGCGTGTTATGTGTTTTTACCGTTCTATTTTCTTTCACAGGCCGAATTGGTCTCGGTAGAGAGCAAAGAGATAGAAAGCCATTACGTTCTGGCAAGGGAGCCCATCCACAAATGGAACTCTACATCAGACTGCTATCTGTTAATAGAAGGCGTCGAGCATACGCTACAGGTACGTTGTAACACTGATAAATTATTTTAGGGTTGCAGTTTTCTTTACTTTGCACTTTTAAATCCCATTGTAAGTGCTATTAATTCATGAATAAGCCTAAATGCCGAAAGCCCATAATCTCATCATTCTACATAATTTGTAATTTGATAACGACAGCGTCAAACCATCAGAACATACTAGAAGTCCATTAATCAAGTTAACACACTATCTTTTGTTATCAGCCCGATGAGGAAGCGTATGTGACCATTCTGTCTACTTGTCCATGCGAAAGGGACGTACATTATGTCATAACAACGGACGGACGGATAACTGATTGGGCGCAAAGGCGATATGGGGAGAACAAGGTGGCATCAGGGTCCTTGGTCGAGGAAACATCGACGATTACGTCGTCAATGGAGCCCGGACCGACATGCAAACTAAATTTTAGGTAAGTCGAGATCTTTTATTGAATAAGGCGAAAACTTTTTTATTCAAGTAGAAATTATAGGTTTGGGATTTGCGAATATTACAGCAAAAATATTAAGTCAGTCATGATAAGGCGCAATTTAAAGACTATTATGTATAAATAGGTATAGCTATTTGACAATAATTGAGATTTTATCGAGAGTTTTATATTACTTATTTTCATTTCATAATTTCAACTTTATTTTGAATTATCCAGAATTCTTCTATGATTTTGTTTTCAATGGTCAAGTGAAACTAAAAATAGCACGGGATGAGTCTAGTATCGATTCAAAACCATCCCTTTCGTCTCGGCTTTTGCACATATTCTCAATGTTAATAAATCTGCTATAAAAATTTCAGAGTGCCAAATTTATTTTTAGCGCATAATAATTATTATTAAAACAAAGTCAGGGCTGTCGGGTTATACAGTGTCCCCTATAACGTTCGCGACATATGGGGAAGTATTTTATCTGTAGGATATGGAATTTTTTCTTATGTGCGATCGATCCTGCATGTCCAATAACCTAAAAGTACTTTTTGACATCGGTCACCTGATCACTGTTGTAGCGGCAAATTCGAAAATTTAGATATGGAAACGCAAAAAGTGGGATTAGATAGCAAAATCTCGGAAAAAGTTATTTGAAAAAAGCTATTAGAACGATGTTTTAGGGCTGTCTGCGAAATTTGGTAGAAAAACAACAAAAAACAGGAAATTACATGTTTTTCGCCACGGATCTTTCATCAACTAATATTATACAGTTTTTATTATTGAAATATTCCAAGTACCTCAATATTTAATGTGTATTGGTAAAACAAACTTAAATTCTTCATTGGAATCATTCCTAGGGAATTGAATAAAAATTATTGATTAGCACATGAAACTTTTCTGTAGCAATACCGTGTATGTGGACAGTTAAGAAAGGTGTTTCAGGACTTTATTGAAATATTTAATAAAAAATCTCAATAAAGAATCTTTCCAATTATTGTATCAACATTAAGTTATTGGAAATCTCAGAAACTGTCAAGATACTATTGGCTATAGAAAAGTTTCATGTGCCAGTCGAATATTTTTATTTAATCCTCTAGGAAGCATTCCAATAAAGAATTTAAGTTTTTTTCACCAATACACATTAAATATTGAGGTACTTGGACTATTTCAATAATAAAAAGTGTATAATAATATTTGATAAGAGATCCATGGCTAAAAACAAGTTATTTCCTGAAAAAAATAATGAAAATAATTCTTGCTCAAAGCAGTCAAACCCGAGATCATAATATGTTATCTAGAGGATTTCTAGATAGGCTTACTCGCTCTTTCGGTATTTATGTTGTTAGAAGGGCTTTTTAACTCCTAAGATCATTGATAAATCCATTCTGGCACATGGTACTAGATGTGTGAATATGCGTTAAATTTATCTCTATTTAGTTTTCCTCCAAATAAAGCAGTATTTTTGAAGATAAATAAAGAAAGAAACAACAATGGGATTAGAGTAACCGCTGACCGAAATCTTACTCCAGCTCCATTTTGAAAGTATAAGATTCGAGTTCGACAATAATGATGACACAGACTGGCTATGTTAAGTAAACATTTACTAGGTTTAATTATTTGCTGGAGATGTGATCGAGCCCAAAACATTGAAGCATGTTTTAAACATATTCAAATAGCTTCAGTCGAGGCTTCAGTGAAGCCGACTGGGGAAACATTATCTTTCCTATTGTCATTAATTTCTTAGGTGCCTGAATTGAATTGTCTTTTTTAAACGCAGTAGTTGAAATAATACCATCCGATCAGTTAACGCTTTGACGTTCCAGTTTTATTTTCAAATCAACTTCAGTTTTAAGTATAGACAAAGTTATGATAAATAATTCCGAATATGATTTTTTTTCTGGTTCAGTACAATGTAATTTATATACAGGGTGTCCCACGATGTTTTTCCCAGGTGATATCTTCGGAACGCGACATCCAATATAATTGAAATTTTGAGGATCTGGGTAACTTTTTGTGCCGCTTCTACCATTGTCATCCAATTTCACCATTTTTGCTTCAATTTCGGTCAAGTGACGTCAACTTTCAAATTTTAAATGTAACTCATAGTATACAGGGTGTCCTTAGATAAACTGACACATTTTACAGGCGAATATCTCGAAAACGAGAAAAGATAACGGGATGCGGTTTGTTCTGGAAGAATGAGGATTTTTTAAAGTTTTTTTTTCATGGTATTGACGAATCCTGAAATTTGGTTTTACAGATATTCGATTTTTTGAAATAATTACATACTGCCTTATTCTTGATGAAACACCCGGTACATTTTGTCATCGTCGGAAAGCGTGACTTTTCTACTTCACAAAAATGTATATTTTTTTTCAATTACCATGAAATTGAATCGTAAAAATTGCACTTGGTTGACGAGCGTACCGTCGACTGCCAAAATAGTTATTTGTGTACCAAGGCCGTAAAGTTTATCTTTTTTGGCCGAATCAGAAATTAGCGGCCGAGGCGCAGCCGAGGCCAAGCAAATTTCAGGTGAGGCCAAAAAAGATCATTCGGCCGAGGTGCACACAAAATTTTTTAGGCGAGTGTTTGTTCTTGAAAAAAGAAGAAAATTCAACAGTCGCTTTAAACTTTATTGATCAAATAAATAATTCAACAAAGATAGATAGATACACAATTATTAATAACAAAAACTACGATAAAGAGAGTGTGATGATAGAAAATTGCCGACTTTTTTGCCTGGTATCTTACATTGAGCTTTTTTAAAAAAGCAATCAATTTTGAAAACTTGCTGATATGTTACCTTTTCCGACTATTATTGTAAATTTTAACATAGAGTATAACATAGGTGGACTTGAAGACCATAACGTTGAGGATTATTTAATTTTGGCATTTTCCGAAAAAAAATGCAAGAAAATACTTCTCCCAAATTTTTAATCATGCCGTTTTTTTTAGCATTTTATGTGGAAATTTGGATAGAGCTAAAATTAAAAACTTAGTTTCATTGTGGTTGCTAACTAATTGTTTATTGGTTGTGTTGATGGCTACCGCACTGCGTTTCCGATTGTTCGTTTATTTTCACCAAAGTAGCGGCCGTAAAGTAATGAAGCAAATGCGGCCGTGAAGTAAATGCGGCCGTAAAGTAAATGCGGCCAAAAAAGATATACTTTAGGGATGATATTGAATCCGTAAAACTAATCTTTTTGTGACAGTCGCCTAAAAAAAAATTATAATAATTAATTTGCGTTTTATATGCACTTATTTGTGTTTAATACTTGTATTATTAGTTAACTATGCGCTAATTAGTTAATAAAAGTATTAAACACAAATTAATTCTCAATTTTTTTTTAGTTAGTCGATGGTATTCCCTTCGACAAAGTGCAATTTTCACGATGCAAGTTTAAGATAATTGAAAAAAATTATACGTTTTTGTAAAGTAGAAAAATCAGGCTTTCTGACGATGACAAAATATACAGGGTGTTTCATTGAAAAAAGGCCGTCATTTTATTTCAAAAAATCGCGTGTCTGTGAAACCAAATTTCAGCAAATTTTAGGATTCGGCAATAATGTGAAAAAAAAACTAAAAAATACTTTATTCTCCCAGAACAAACCGCATCTCGTTATCTTTTCCCGTTTTCGAGATATTTACCTGCAAAATGTGTCAGTTTATCTAAGGACACCCTGTATTATGGCATTTTTCGTTAGAAAATTAAATTACAAAATCGGCTATGCCATATTTGTTAAGGCTTTGTTAAAGGATATGACAGAAAATTATACAGTGGAACATACGATGATGCGTTCCGAAATAATCATTTGGGAGAAAGCTCGTGGGACACCCTGTATAAGTAGCAGCCCGAAGCTTCTTCTTGTCTTTTGTTTTCCAAATTCTTCATGAAGTCCGCCAACATTTATTTATTTATTTATTCACTTATTTATTTGTTTAAATACACTGTTTAACAGGCCACCCCGTTTACAAAATAGGCGCAATACATCAGAGTGAGAGGAAAAACAAACTAGAACTAAAACTAAAACTGAAAAAATAAAAAATTAGGCTATATCTACATACATAAAGGTAAAATAAAGCTGAACCATAATAAACTAAGCGGCAGATGAAGTGGGACACCCGAAAAATTGCCTAATTTTGACTTGCTATAACTTCGACATTTCTTTGCCGATCTTTGATTATCAGGCAGGGTTATAAAGCGCCATCTTTGGTCTATGCGTCAGTGTCGTCGTAGATTTTTTTTTTAATTCCTTCTCGTTATACAGGGTGTGAATGTAAGGCGGCGAAAAATTTCCATTTTTTGGCGAAGAATATGGGAAAGATGGAGGGTCCAATAAAGTTCTTTCTAGTGGTGACTCGATCACTAGGTCAACAGCTCGAGACGTCTTTGCCATTTTTTCGATACATCGCGTTGCTATGGAAATATGGCCATTTTATGGTATTTCGTTTTTCTCTTGAAATTAGCGATTCTTAAATTGAACAATAACAGATTCCGTTTAAATTGCATCATGGAATGACTTGTATAGAAAATAGTCAACACCAGTGGCGTGCAAAAGGGGGTTTATGAAATTAAAATTAAAAAAATTGATTTTCTCTGAAATTTTTAAGCTTTGTTGAGCTTCAAAATTTAACGCCCAAATGCACCATAAGGACTCAATTCAGTTTAGTTGCTGGAACCAGGTTAGGACTTCTCTTTTATATGCAAATTTTCGAACTAAGCGAGAATAAACTCCCAAGTCCATACGGTGCATATGGGTGTAAAAGGTGTTATAAATAACTCTGATATGGTATCATTTTGGTTCTCCTCTAGCCTTAATAACTGCGTGACACCGCCTTGGCACGCTCGAAATTATTCGGTTAATTAGCTCTATAGTAACTGACTCCCAGAGCTCCAGAATCATCTCCTCGAGATCGTCTAGAGCTTCTGGCTGACGTTCTCCCCGGAAAAGCACTAATTTCATTCAGCTCCAGACGTGCTCAATTGGAT